CTGGCCGGCCTCCTGTCTATTCAACGCTTTCTTTACTGGAATGCCGTGGTCTTTTTTGGGGGAGTGAGGGCAGGAGGAACCCCGTGGGTGGTTATCAAAAGGCAGGATGAACTCCCTTTGAAATAAGCGGTACAAAACTCCAAAGGAAGAGGTGGGTCAGTGTTTCTTCTGCCACCTGAAATAACTGAAAGGCCCAGAATCCAGTTTGAAAGAGTTTATATCACCTTTGAGGACCAGCACTCAGAACACCCAGACTCCATAGGAATGGGCTCAGTGCTCGGAGGTGGAGGGGTGAGGGCTTCACTTATATGGGCGAACACAAGGAGGTTTAGCATAATTACAACATTTTCCACATAAGATTGGCTTATGACTTGCAGCAATTTGTTTGGTTACATCTCATTCCCTTCAGGAAAAGTACATTTAACACCCGTCTTATGCAGTTTGATAGTCATGGGGTCTTTTGTGCCATCTGGCCTGAGTTGGGTTCAAGAAAAGAAAGAAGGAAGCTAATCCTAACAAAAGGTCAGTTACCACGGGAGGGGCGGGGTCTTAGAGCTGGTGCCATTGAGTCTTTCATAACATTTTACAAATCGGGAAAGGGAGAGGTTTAATCTACAACTGGAGAGGCAAAGTTCACAGCGACGCGCTGCTGGACTAGGGTCTCAGAATCACATTCCTTCAAGCCTCAGAGTCATTTAAAGTTCCAACAGCTTTAATTTCATCAGCTTATTGTCAACCAAAAGAGTCAAACTCTAAAATATTTCAGGAGATTTTTTCTGTGACAAATCTGAGTGACAAATGGCCCGTGACCAAGCCCTCAGGAGGTCCCGAGAACATGTGTCCAGGTGATCTGGGCACAGCCTAACTATACATTTTAGGGAGACATGAGGCATCAATCAAATACATGCAAGATACACATTGGTTCCATCCAGACAGGTGGGGCGGGGAGGTTCCAGGTTATACATAGATTCAACAATTTTTTTATTGGCAAATGGTTGAGTTATCACTGGAAAGGAATGTCTAGGTTATGATAGTGGGTTGTGGAGACCAAAGTCATACCGCACAGATGAAGCCTCCAGGGAGCAGGCTTCAGAGAGAAAAGATCGTAAATGCCTCTTATCAGCCTTAAGGCCTGTGTTGATGTTCAGTGCCGGTCAGCTTTTGCTGAATCCCAAAAGGGAGGAGGGCATAAATGAGGCATGTCCACCCCACCTTCTCTTCACAGCCTGAACCAGTTTTTCAGGTTAACTTTGGAGTGCCCTGGCCTAGAGGAGGGGTCCATTCAGATGGCTGGGGAGTGGGCTTAGAACTTTATTTTTGGTTTAGACTATTTTCAAGCTTCTAACATCATCAGCCATCTTCTGCCAGGTGTGGCCTGGGGAGGGGTCCCTTACCATGTGATGGGAGGTGCTATCACAACTAGGCAGCTGCCCATCAGCAGGTCACAGAAGAGCCTCTTGGACCTGGGGAAGGACCTGTGAGACTCTGTGAAGAGGAAAAGTCAGGTTCAAGTCACTGGTTTTCAATCAAACCCATTTTATAAATAAGAAAAATAGAAAACTCTTTTCTGGGTTGTGGGGAGAGGGGGACCCAGGGCACCTAAAGGCTAATTCTTGCTCGAGTCCTTTAAATTTTTACTTAGATTTTTTTAATGTTGAGAATAGACTTAATTCTCCATTCACAACTTTTAAAAATGGCTAAACATGGCTGGGCACGGTGGCTCATGCTTGAAATCCCAGCACTTTGGGAGGACAAGGCAGGTGGATCACTTGAGGTCAGGAGTTTGAGACCAGCCTGGCCAACATGGTGAAACCCCATCTCTACTAAAAAATACAAAAATTAGTCTGACATGGTGGTGGGCACCTGTAATTCCAACTACTCAGGAGGCTGAAGCAAGAGAATCACTTAAACCTGGGAGGCGGAGGTTGTAGTGAGCCCAGATTTTATCACTGAACTCCAGCCTGGGTGACAGAGTGAGACTCTGTCAAAGAAAAAAAAAAAAAGGAATGACTAAGCATTTTTTTAAATCAAAGCCATTTTAAAGCCCTCATCTCACTGGATTCTCAGCCGGGGCTGCCCACAGAGCAGAAGGCAGCTGTGGGAAGCAGACGGATGGTCCCACCTCCACCTGGAGGGTTCCTGCTCAGATCCTGGGTCACCTGCCCCACTGATGACACCTGAGCCGCTCCTGCTGGAAAATCGTACCTGGAACCCCCTTGGGTCTGGTCCCCTCTGCACCCCAGCACTCCTAGGGCAGCCATATGGGAGAATGGAGCCCTCGAGGCGGCAGGGGCAGAGTGGGGTAGGTCAAGACTCGCCTAGTCCCAACCAAAGGTGTTGGTTTTTGTTTTTTACACCAAACAGAGCAGAGAGGGGCAAGGAAGTAAAAATTACTCAAACTCCAGGTGAGCCAGAGCCCACAGAGGCAGCAGATCTCCCCGTGCTGGGCACACACCCAAGGCTGGTTTTTGACAAGGAATAATCAAAGATGACACCTTGAGGCTGCCCTCTCCCTGCCCCTCCTGGGCAAAGTCAGTGCGTTTGAGGAGTTAGCCTGGACTTGAACTTCTGGAACCCCGACCGCTGCTGGCCTTGGTGCTGGGACTCTAGGGGTGCAGGACACAGGGAGGGGCGTGGAGGGGGAGAGCAGCTGGACTCCGGCCACGCTATGTCGGTGCCTGCCTCGTCTGTGGTCCCCCACTAAGCCATGGAAAGCCCCAGGGAGGCGGGGACCAGGGATCGCGGGGAAACCCTGAGCCCAGACCAGGTGCACCCCGCCTGCAGTTAATCACTCCAGTCCCTATGGGCTGGTCCAGGTGCAACCACAGCAGGACGCAGGTCGTCTCCAGGGAAACACAGGGAGGAAGGATGCCCTCCCTCTTCCTTCCCCTCTCTCTCTGGGAGGGGAGGCTGCCCTGAGCAACGTAGTTCCCATGTAGGATACTGGAAGTCTCAGCCTACCCCTTCCCTCCAGGGGCAAGGGGCTACTTGGAACTGTCAGACCTCCACAGCAACACACGGAATATTCTGGAAACTGGGAGATAGGGCACTGCTATACAACAGTCAGGAATAGCCATCCTGTCCTCCTGAGACCCGGATAAAACCAACTTCTGCTGGGAAGGAGCACAGAGTGGGGCCTGGCCTTTGGAGTCGGGAAGAACCAGGCATAAGTAACAGAACTGCCTGACCTCCCGTTTGTCACTTCAGCTCCGGGTCCGCGCCTGACTTGGGATGACTGGGTGGGGCACATAAGAGGCTGCGTGATTCATTCTTTCCTGCACCTCAGATTCCTGTGCACTCGGGGTACTGGGCTCTGTTTCAGGTCCCCGTACGCAGCACAGAAGGAAGAGAGTACCTGACTGCATGGTGATCGCTCTTAGTGGGGACACCTAGACACTAAACCAGTAGTTCTGTCATGCCAGTTGGTGATAAATTGGCTTGAAGAAGCTTCCACTTCCAGGCAAGGCAGAATAGATGCACCCGTCCCCATGCCTGACACTAAGGACAGTTAAAGTCCCCATACAGTTCCCTAGATGTGACACATACATCAATGAGTACATGCAGAACTGTATACATACAAAACACTGAAAGGTGGAGAGAGGAAGGCAGACCATGTAGGGACCTTGGTACCTGAGGAATGACATGGCAGGAGTTCCCTGGGTTTTCTTTCTGACTCATATCCGTGATTGGGTGCTGGAGAAGCCAGCAACACAAAACACAAGGGCACAGACAACAAACCCAACAAGTCGGCTCTCAGCCAAAGCAGTTAGGCAAGAGAAAGAAATACAGGCTATCCAAATTGGAAAGGAGGAAGTTAAATCGTCCCTGTTTACAGATGATATGATCTTATAGAAAACCTAGAAAACCCTAAAGATTCCACCAATAAGTGGTTAGAATAAATGAAATCAGTAACGTTGCAGGATATAAAATTCGCATACAAAAATCAGTGGCATTTCTACGCACTGACAAAGAAATCAAGAAAACCATCTCATTTACAATGGCTACCAAAAATTACTTGTGAATAAATCTAACCAAGGAAGTGAAAGATCTGTATGCTGAAAACTAGAAAACATTTGTGAAAGAAATTGAAGATACAAGTAAGTGGAAAGAGATTCCATGTGCCTGTTCCCACCTTCCCCCTGCAAAAATAAAGACATCCCATGTTCATGAATTGGAAGAACTAATATTCTCCAAATGTCCATTCAAGCCAAAATAATCTACAGATTCAATGCAATCCCTATCAAAATTTCAATGACATTTTTCACTGAAAACAATCCTAAAATTCATATGGAACCACAAAAGACCCCTGAATAGCCAAGGCAATCTTAAGCAAAAGAATAAAGCTGGAGACAATACACTACCTGACTTCAAAGTATGCTACAAAACTATAATAATCAAAACAGCAAAACAGCATGATATTGACATAAAACAGAACAATGGAACTGAATAGAGAGCCTAGAAGTGAATCCATGCATTTATAGTTAACTGATTTTTAACAGAAATGCCAAGAATACACAATGGGGAATGGACAATAAATGATATAAAAAAATAAATGATATTGCAATAAATGATACTGGGGCCATGTGCAGTGGCTCATGCCTATAATCCTAGCGCTTTGCGAGGCTGAGGTGGAAGGACCACTTGAGGCCTCCCTCCAGGTTCTGGCAGAAACTGCCTCCGTGATCCCTTGTCTAAGGAGAAGGTGGCTCAGGACCTCCCTTTGGGGGCTGAAGGTGGTGGCCCCTCCAGGAATTTATGCCCCAGGCCCTGAATTCCAGCTGCCTATGTCTGTGTGCATGCATCTGTGTTTGTATGCATGTCTGTTTGTGTGTGTGCATGTCTGTGTATGTGCATGCATATCTGTGTGTCTGTGTGGTCTGTGTGTGCATTTCTGTTGGTCTGTCTCTGCTTTTTTGCATGTATCTCTGTGTCTGTGTCTGCGTATGTATGTGTCTGCATGTGTCTTTCTGTGTATGTGTCTCTGTGTTCATGTGTGTGTATGTCTGTGTATGTAATCGTGCCTCTGTGGCGGGGGCGGGGGCGGGGAGGGGAGGGGGGTGTGATTTGAGGTGGGGGCAGGACCTAGGCTTCGGTTACTCTCAACAGGACGCAAAAAGGAAGCGGACTTTACCAGTTCTGCTAAAACCAGGGGCAGGAAGGAGACAGGGATGCCGGCAGCTCTCCCAGAGCCCCTGGCAGCCGCTGACAGGCTCCGGACTGCCCCGTGGTTCTTGGGCACCGCCACCTACCTCAGCTTCTTCAGGATGGGGGGCCAGCCCAGCAGCTGCTGGTCCCACAGGTACTCGGGGGACAGCACCTTGGTGGGTTTGTGGCGCAGCAGGTACTTGTTCAGGTGGCTCTCATCGTGCCACACGGCCTCGATGCCGTTGGCCTGGTCGATCATCATGGCCTGGTGGCAGGCCCTGGTGAGCCGCTGCACCTCTTGCACCGACCCCCCGAAGAACCCCCCCAGGTAGTAGAAATCGCCCTCGTCCTTGGGGATGTAGGCCTGGGACTGGGGCCGGCGCTCGTAGGTGAAGGCCTCCCGGCTGCTTCCGTAGAAGCCGGGATGCAGGGTGCCGAACAGCGGGGACAGGATCTCCACGCCCACGTGGTCGCTGAACTTCATGTCCACGTCGGCGCACACCAGGTAATCCACCTCGCGGAGGAAGCGCCGCTCGCAGAAGTCGCTGATCATCTCCATGCGGCGCATGGACACGTCCTGCCAGCGCTCGTAGGCGCGCACCTCCAGCACCGACAGCTGCCGGCCGGCCCCCAGCGCCACGTGCGGCACCGCGGCCGCCTGGTCGGTGAAGACATAGTAGTGGACCCGGTGGCCCACCATGAAGTGCTTCTCCGCCGTCTCCAGGAACAGCTTCACGAAGGCCACGTATCTGCAAGGCAGGGGGACAGGGCCTGGGGAGCCGCTGGCCCGTGTCCTTGGGCTGCAGGAGGCCTGCCCTGCGCGCTCCCACCAGCGGCCATGGGAAGGCTCAGAGGAGCAGATGCACCACGTTCTCCTGCCCTGTCCTGAGCGAGACCTCGGGCCGCGACTCACTTCATCTTCCCAGCAATGGAGGGACCACCAATACCCCCTCATAGTAAGGAGGGCTGAGGGCAGGCAGCTGGAGGCTCGTAGCAGGCCCCAGGCTGGTGCTCACTCACCCTTAGCATGGCCTGAGCCACGCCTCCCCACACAGCTGCCCCTCCTATGCCCGGATCAGCCACGTGCCCCTTCACATAAAATGCGCTGGCGGCCCCACACGCCCACCTCTGCACCTTACAGTTACCTCGCTCCCAGGCTTGAACTGCACATATTCCTAAGAGTAGGTCATTTCTGGACTCCCTCATTGTTACTGGCCCTTCTGCCCACGGGTGCTGAGAGGTCAAGTCCGTGTCTGCGTTCACCTCCCTAGCTCCCTGTGAAGCTGGCCTGGCCCAGAGTCCAAGGGCATTATGGGTTAGCTGCTTCCCTTGAGGTCTGGGGCCAACTGCCTTGCCTGCTTCACCTCATCTGAGGACACAGTGACCACGGCTCTGCCAGCATCCTCTTTCTAGGGTCCAAGGACAGTAAACAGGTGTCCCCCTCCTGCCATCTCTGGTCAGTGAGCAGAGTCCACCTGGAGCCTTGTATAGAGGTGGTGGCTCAGCAGGAGGGCTAGCCACAGGTACAGAGAGGAGGGGGCAGCAGGAGCCGCCATCCCTGGGTGAGACGCAGCCTCTGGACAAGGAGCTCAGTTTTACCCCCAGGGAGCCCACGTGAGCTCAGTAAGATGCTGTGTGAATGGCCTTTCCCATCTACCCTCTGGGAGGACAAGGCTGGCCGCCACCCCACTCTGTCCTGAACACAAAGAGAGACCTTGATGTTCCCGGTCATTCCCCACAGCCCGGTCTCTGCCCTCGGCCCCCTCACTGACTTACTTCTTGATGGCAAACACAGTTAACCCGATGGTGGTGTTCCGGAGCCTGAACTGCTCGTTGAGGATATCGGTGTTGAAGGTGCCCTCCCAGACGATGGGAGCCAACCAAGGGGTCACCACAAGGACATCTTTCCTACTGCAGATGGCAAGAGGCATGCGGTAGCAGGGAGCTGGCAGGGCACCGCCCACACATGCCTCTGGCACACGGCCGTCCCCACCTGGAAACCCCACTCAGCTTCTGCCACCTCTGACCACCCTTCCAGAGGCAGCCACCATTCCCCCGAAACCAACCAGAGGCAAATGCAGGCTCCAGCTCGGCCAGTGATTCCCAACCCTCCCTCAACATTGGATCTGCCGGACTACAGAGGGAGCTGAGCTTTGCTGGCAAAGAGACAGGAATCCCCCCACCGACACCCTCCCCCAGACCCCCTCCCAGGGAGGAGGTACCTAACAGGCCTCTGCAGGGGCTTTGGTGAACAAAGAGCCAGAAAACAAGAGACCAAGTCAGAGAAAGCAAAGGGAATGAGAACAACCATGTGGGCCTCCGAATTCAGATGTCAGGGGCACCTGAGGGGAGAGAACGGCGAAGCAGCCCCAGCTGAGATTTCCGTCAGGGAACCCGCCCTCTAATGCCCTCGGAACAGCCCCTGGAGCTGCCTGCAGTTTCAGTAACTTACTCACCATGGTGTCAGCGTCTGTGGCTGGGGGTAGACCATCCTGCAAGCACAAAGCGCCGTCCCGTGAGTTTGGAGCTTGCATGGGAAGTGTGGGATGCATGTAGGCGGGGGGCGCACACCCTCCCGCCAAGGCCGCCCTCCCAGGCTGGAATCGCTGTGGCTGCTCCGGGCTGTGTCAGCCCACAACCCCAGGACCCCGGGGCAGGGCCAAAGCTCAGAGTCTCCGATCCAGCACTTGTAGACTGGGGAGAGGGCCGAAGTGACCGCAGGCCCATTGCTTTCCACTTGACTTAAGGCTGGGAGGGATGTAGGGGTCCTGCCTTAATTCACTGTGCGCAGAGAGGAGACTGCATGTGTGGCCCCTGTCTCTGGTCATTCCCAGGGAAAGGGCCTGAGATGTGCAGATGCCCCACCTGGGCCCGAAGCCTGCTGGGCCTCCTTGTGGGCTGGTGGCGTCCACAGCCCGGCTTCCTCTCTGAGAAGTCAGGGAGTAAAACCTGCTCTGACAGTGACACAAAGCACTGTCAGGTGCCACACACAAACTATGGGACGTGCGGGCCACAGTGATGTCCCCACCTGAAGTACTGGAGAGGCCTAGGAGACATGAGCCAGGGCCATTGAAATTGTCAGTAATGACCACAATTTGAATGTCCTATGATGGCCTTTAAAAGCAGGGAATCAGCTGACAGTAGAAGGAAATTCTGACACTTGCTACAGCCTGGGTGGACTGTGAGGACATCACGCTCAGTGAATTAAGCCTGTCAAAAAAGACAGCTACCACTGATTCCACTCATAAAAGGTGGTTGTAGTGGTCAGACACAGAGCCACAGGCCACGGAATGGTGAGTGCGGAGAGCTGAGGGAGGGGACAGCACAGTGGCTATTTCAAGGCGACAGAGCTTCAGTTGTGTAAGATGAAAAGAGTCCTTGTGATGGCTGCACAGTAACGTGCATGGACAGAGCACCCCTGACCACTGACCACTTACCAATGATCCAGATAGCAAATTTTATGTTAAGTGTATTTGACCACAATTAAAAAAAATAATCAAAAGCAGTGTGGGCAACTTGGCCTTGGTTGCCTAGACTCCTGCAGTCTCAGCACTGATAAAGGCCCACATCCTGGGAAACAGCCCCCGAGGCCCAGAAGAGCAGACCAGCTGGTCCTCCTGTTTCAAAGCCAATGACAGGCAGCTGGTGAGAACTGAAGTCTGGGCCGCATGGCGCTCTCGGAGTGGCTGCAGGACGAGGGCGGAGTCAGAGCAGAGACTGGCTAGGGAGCGGCCTCCTCCCTCCAAGCCACAGGAGGACAGAGGAGCTGCTCCCACACGCGTCTGCCCACACACACACAGGTACCCGGCTGCAGGACAATTCTGTGACATGGGAGCCACCGAAGGAAGACATTGTACCTTGGCAATGCGACACTCTGCAGACCGCCCGGTTCCCTAACAGCCATGCTGCAGAATGAGAACACAGGAGATGAAGTTTATTCCAGCAGCAGGGATTGAGGGCACAAGTGCATGGGAGCCAGCAGAGGGTCCCAGTGGAAGGGACACAGCGTCAGCCTGGAGCGCGGAGCACTGTCCACCAGGAACAGTCCCAGAACAGCCACCCCTGTGCTAATGGGCCTGGCGTGGGCCCGTGTGCCAGACTCTGGAAGGCCAACGCTGCTGTCTGAGGTCTGCGTTTGGGGGGCCTCACAGCCCACAGGCTCACCACACACGTCGAAGCCAAGGCTGGGCGGAGTGGAGTTCCAGAACAAGTCTGCAAACCCCGAGGCCCCTCCCATCAAGAGATGGGGTCTGATATTCCTGTTTCTAAGAAAGAACATGTGGCAGAAGTGACACTGGGTGACTTCTGAAGCCAGCCCTAGAAGGCCATCCGGCTTCTGTATCTTCTTTCTTGGCATATTCGTCTTGGAGCTTCCACACAAAGCTGAGCAGGAGCCCAGGCCCCGGGGAGAGGCCCTGGGTAGGTGTCTCAGCTGAGAGGCAGCATCAACTGCCAGAGACGCAGGGACGTCCTTGCAGTGACCCCAGCCACCCACCGTCTGCCCACAACTGCTTACGGACCCAAAGTGAACCAGCCAGGTGAGCCCCGTGCACCCCAGGAAGCCCAGGGACAGATGCGATCAGTGGCTGATCGTTTTCCATGGATGGGGCTGTGTTCTGCGGTCAGGGGTCACTGACACGAGTGGGAATTAGCAGACACGGCAGGGGGCACAGCACGGACACAGGGCGGGAGTCAGGACCACACGGCACGTGGACGAGCCACAGGCCACTCTGAAGCACAGAGTGGCAAGGCAGAGTTGGGAGAGATGAGGCTGGGGAGGTCAGGCAGGCAGGGTCAGACCATGGAGAGCCTCCTACCTTCTGTTCTGGAAAGACCACTCCAGCACTGTGAGGACACGGGGGACAGGGCTGATGGGGATGGGGAGACAAGCCTGAGGCTGTTGCAGAGATGAGGCAGCCCCACCGGACCGATGGAGCAGGGCTGCGAAGGCAGAGAGGCCGCTGGGCGTGTGAGCTGCTGAACAGCAGGGCTGGCGGGACTTGGGAACCCAGTGTAGGGCTGAGGGCAAAGGGAGAGTTGAGGATGGCAGGTGGAAGGCAACTCAGGAGGAGGGGTGTGGGCAGGGAGCAGAGACCATGTGTGCGAACTCTGGGTAAGCCTGGAGTCGGGGACTGGAGGTCAGAAGGTCAAGGCTGGCTCCAGAGATGTGGAGGCAGACGTGTCAGGTGACCCTTCAAGGCCACAGAGCTGGCCACATCTACACTGGGCACAGGATGGAGAGGGGACCCAGGCCCACCCATGTGCGTGCCCGGGAGGGGCAGGGGGAGTTCCCAGAGCGGGACCCCAGCCCACAGCCAGCACCCCGGCCAGCACAGATGGCCCGCCTGCCCTTCTCCTCACTCACCGGGCCTCCAGTTCCAGCCTTCCTGGCATTAGGCTTCTGGGGCTTAGGACCCGGTAACTGCAGGAAGGAAGTGTGCCAAGGTTCAGGACACAGAACCAAGACTGCCTGTGGATCCCTTCCTCCAAACTGCACATGCTGGGGCCAGCCATGAGCACAGGAGTCCCCGATGAGCTGCAAGGCCTCCAGGCAGGCAGGAAACCTTCTCAGCAAAGCCCAGGTGCCTCACCACATAC